GAAATAGTATCCTCCGTAGAGCGATTTGGTCGGTAGGCAAACTGAAGCAGGTCAAAAGCTGGTGGGAGTCTAGATACAATAGTGTCCTTTATCAGTTTCTCAAAGCATTTCATAATGGTGGATGTCAGTGCAACCGGACGGTAATCATTGAGGCCTGTAATTGTGGACTTTTTTTGGCACTGGTAAGATGATGTCCATCTTAAAACATGATGGGACCACTGCCTGTTGCAATAAGAGGTTGAAAATATCTGTGAGACCACAAGCCAGCTCTCCTGCACATACATTCCCTGAGGACACGTGCAGGGATGTTATCTGGGCCTGCTGCTTTCTGAATGTTAACTGTCTGCAGTGTTTTCCGGACAGAGGTGACATCAAAGCTTGGCGCTTGTTCATCAGGATAGGGGCACTGCTTTCCTAGCAGGAGTTACATCAAGAATGTAATGCAATAGCTTTTATGAAGGATTTGCTATTAGAATAGCAGTTATAAACAACAAAAGTGAAACACATAGAAAAAAAATGAGATATACAAAAATTATCACCATGTCAGTTAATACTTAGTTGGGTAACCTTTAGCATGAATTACGGCCTTACAATGTCTTCCCATGGAGTGAACCAAGTCCTTTAGTTCTGCAGCTGTTAGAATGTGAAACCAAGATTAAATGATTGCTTCTATTAACTGGGTTTTATTGCTGGGTCGCTTCTGACTAACAAGTTTCTTTAGTCGGCTCCACAGATTTTCAATTGAATTAAGGGGCTATTCCCAGGCCATTCCAGCAGTGGAAGATGATTATCTTGAAACCACTTTTTGCCCACAGAAGTAACATGACATGGAGCTGGATCCTGTTGAAATATAAATGCTTCATTGTCTTGGAAAAGATCATGTGAGGAAGGCTTCAGTTTGGGCTCAAGTATTTCATTAATGTATTTTTGGCCATTTATATTCCCATTAATCACACAAATTCTGCCCACACCTTTTGATGTCATACAACCCCAGATCATAATACTGACTGGGTGTTTCACGGTACATGTAATGCAATCAGGATGCAAATCTTCTCTGATTCTTCTCCTTACGTATTTTATGCCTTCACTACCAAACAGGGAGATCTTGGTCTCATCACTCCAAATAATACTGTCCCATTGTTCCTCTGTCCAGGTAACAGGGGTTTTAGCCCAGTTTAGTCTTTTCAACCTTTGTTTGAGAGATAAAAGTGGAATTTTCGTGAAATTCTAGATTTTAGGCCAAATTCCTGCAGTCTGCGCTGAACAGTCCTTGCACTCAACTTCATATTGCATTGTGCCATTTCATCTTGTATACACCCAGATTATTTTCTTCTGTCACATAGACACAATCTCTTAATTCTTCTATCATCATTTGCTGTTGTTTTGTAGTGGATGAGTCTCCTTATACCGCTTTAAAAACTTAGAAATGCCACATTTGGTTAAGTTTCCACCATTTTTTCTTCTAATTTCTTTATAACTGTAGCCTTGTTCACTTAATAATACTATTTTACATCACTTTCTGGGCAATCAGTCAACTCTTTGCATCATTACTTTAATTTTATTACATTTTACAAGCTCACTAAATGAAAAAAATACAAAAAAACCCCAACCAACTTGATAGTGATCACATAACATACTGACAAATGTCTTCGTCTCAGCTTCAGTACATGACATCAATAACTGAATCCTACTGTGATCTGATTGGCTCATTGCCAAAACAAGATGACACCTGACTGGCTCTCTAAACACTCACGCTCATTGGCTACAATCAGATGAAGGAAAGCTACTTGATATCAACCTAAGCAAGTTGTGCTTCCTTTTTCTGGTTATTTGGCTATAACTTTTCATAGAATACAGATAATTGAACAAACTTTGTTACATTATATTCTTGATTAAATTATCTTTCCATTGATATATAATTTTAATGGTACTACTCCCAAAAAGTGTTGTTATTAGCCATCAAATCTCAAATGTACACTTTTCCCAAAAGGTTTCCACAATTTTGGCTACTACTGTATACCCTGAAACTGAGCAGTGTATAAATTACTCGAAATTGTAGCATATAAAATTAAATAAACAGCTGAATGCACCATGATATATTGGCTCAAAAGAGTTCAATAATGATCAGCTGTAAGCATAAGCATAATAAGAAAAGTGACACCAACTGAAAAAAATGCCATTTTTTTAACACACCCAAAACAATACAGGAATACGGAAATATTTACCTGGTATTAATAGAAGTACTACATTCTCTGCATAAAATAAAGCATTATATGCCTATTCAACATTGAAAGACAATTTCAAAATTCTTGTGAGAAAGGCAAAATCTTTGATAGCTTCTTGAATGAGAAACAAAACATCTTCAAGGAAAAGCAAAATCTACTGTAGTTGCTTCTCCAAAAAGCACCTTTGGATGTTTGATAGCAGCTTTTAAGTTGCAACTTCATCCCAAAAAAATTCAGTATTGATTTAATTAAGCTGGGTCAAATTTTTATAACATTAATAACAATAATAACACCATTGGCTGCCTGGATGCCACTTATTATCGTATTTGGTGGTCGTGTAAAAATATAAAAGCCTTTTGGATTAAGATATGGTGGAATATTCAGAGAATTTTTAGAAAGAGGGTAAAATTTACTCCACAATTGTTTTTGCTTGGTATTATTACTGATTGTGATGCTAAGGAGGTTATATTGATGTTGAATTTGATTACAGCCGCAAGGCTGTTAGTAGGTCAACACTGGAAGAAGGAATCTTTGCCTACTTTGCAAGAGTGGTTTTTTAAAGTATCTTATTTGGCAGAAATGGCAAAGATTTCGGCTTTCTTAAAAGAGCAAATGCAAGAGAATTTTTTTGCTGTATGGGAAAAATGGATAAATTTTATACAATTTAAATTGGATATGAAAAAATATCATTTAGCTTTTTTATAATTTGTACATAAATTCTACTTTTTCTTTTTCTTTTTTTTTGCTTTTCTTTTTAAACACCTTTTCTTTTTAAGGTTTATAATTCTTTTTTCATATATATTTTATTCTTAATTATCGTATAACTTTGTTAATTTCTTTTAATTAAGCCTGTATTCTGCTCTAGGAAGCTCCGGGGGGGAGGGAGGGGTGGTTTGGGAGGGGTTGGGGGAGGGTTGTATTGTTATGTTTTTTTTTCTTTCTTTCTTTGTTGTTGTTGTTGTTGTTGTTATTGTTTTTTTTGTCTTTGTAAAAGTTTTTTAAAATTTTTTTCAATAAAATAATAATAATAATAATAACACCATTAAACAACAGCCGAGGTGGCGCAGCAGTTAGAGTGCAGTACCGCAGGCCACTTTAGCTGACTGTGTTCAGCAGATCAACGGTTCAAATCTCACCGGCTCAAGGTTGACTCAGCCTTCCATCCTTCCGAGGTAGGTAAAATGAGGACCCAGATTGTTGGGGGCAATGTAAATATATATATACATTGCTTACTGGTGTACACCACTTAGAGAGTGCTTGTACTTAAAGCGGTATATAAGTCTCATAAATAAATAAATAAATAAATAAATAAATCTCCTTATTCTGGTCCTTGGGAAGAATTCAGTAAGTGAATTAAAATGCCAAATCCAGTCTAAACATCTGGCTAACTATTCAAAATGGTATCTTCACTGGAATCTTAATACAAAGAACTTCTACATTTAAAATACTTTATCTGGTAAACCTGTGGTAGCTATGTTTCTTATCTTTTCCTATTTTCTTATTTCTGATTCTTGCTATTTTTGGCTGGTCAATAACCAAAATAACATACTTTCAAATAAATCAATTGAATTCATAGGGAAAAAATATTTAATGTGAATGGTCATGGTATATTTGTGCATAAGCCTGTTCTTATATATACAAACACATAAATCTTGCAGTTTCTTCCATTATTTTCTGCTGCAATAATTTCCTTGGATTTCTTTTTCTGTGCCTATGAGTTGTTCTCAAAATTTCAAGTATGCCCATCAGTCCCAAAATATTTAGAGTCATTGTTATAACATATATTGAAACCACTTACAATATATGACAACAATGTCATTAACTTGTTCTTCTTGTATTTTAAACAATTTATAACAAGTCACTTAGCGGTCATTTGAAGTTACAATGGATTCTCCAAAAGGTAATTCTGACCCAGATTTGAAGTTTCCTGACTCCCCCATTGTTCACATGATCTCATTTTGGTTCTTGGAAACTGGCCCACCATTACAGCTGAAATATGTGGTCATGTGACCAAGATTTGCAATATTATTTCCAGGAAACTGGTGCTTATTTCCAGTTCCCAGCAAAAAAAAAAAAAAAATGTCCATTATAGCACTGGGTTCATTTAATAACTGCAGTGCATACTTAAGAAGTGTGGCATTCACTTTATAACTACCCAGTTCACTTAATGACTGTTGTGAAAAAGGTTGTTGAATTGAGCATGGTTATGTGATAACACACTTAAAACTGACATAATTTACAACTATAATTCTGATCTCAATTATTGTCGTAAGTGGAGAACTGCTTGTATTTATCATAGCTTGTTTGTTCTTAGAACTTGAAACTGTCTAAAAATTGCAGGGGCCATGCAGAAAGCACTTTTTTCCCTATGTACATGTGTATGTATAAAGAAAAAAATACATAAATGTCATTGTTGTGCCAAGCCAAGAATTATATTCATCTCATTTATTCTGATTAGAAAAAATGGTAGTTCGGTATTACTAGGTCTGACATTGGATCACTTTCTAAAGAATGCTGTGTCATCCTAACAAGAGTAACAAAGAACCTAAATAATCAAAGTATTAATTAATGTTTATCATTAATTAAAGAAAAAGTTGAATTGTGGGAATACCTCTGATACCATTCAACCCAAACTGAAATTGTTCCTTCAGGACTCTAGATGAAGTCATTGTTGGAATACACTTGGGAAATTGTTTTCTCAGATGCTACCTATATACCGTTATACATATTAATCATGGTACTTCTCATCCATTATTTTTCATAGTATGAATTCTGAGCTCTATACTGTACCATTTTTTAAAAAAATTTGATCCACTGTAAACTGCTAAAGGGCAGGGGCTTTTCTCCATACATAGAGATTAGGTTTCACATTAAACAATAGTATAAATATGAATAAAGACCTAATATATACTTCATACATATTTATATTATAATATAATATCTCTATTACATATTATAGTCTGCTATAGCATAATAATACTAACAAACTTTTCATCCCAATTGCTTAATATCAATTCCTTTTCTAAAGAAAAGACTGCAAAAATGGAAAAGAGATATTTTGACTACCTGTAAGTATATTTCCTTTTAATCCATATAGAATATTTTTAATGAGGCAAGAGGGATTCATATGGCATTTTTTTCTTATATTGATAGACCAATAAAAATAGAATATGAGAAAAGATTTTTAATGTAATGTTAGTTAGCATTCACATGTTTATTACATAGGTAAATAATTTTGTTTCTAAAATGATTATACATTAGATGAGGTTTTATTGTATAATATCCTGTATTGCATCTTTCCCCATAAAATCTCATTATGTGTGGAATGGATTTAGACAACTTTTAGCATGCATATTCCTTTTTCCCTTAAATTCTGTGTCTATGTGGTGTTTTTTGTGTGTGTGTGTGTGCGTGCACGCGTGCCAGCATTCTGTTTTTCCATAAAACCCTTTAAAGAATATAGCTGACTACTGTAGCATTATGCGTGGATTTTCAAGGAGAGAATCCTTAACTGTCTCTATTGAAAATCAATTGAAAATGTATCACAATCAAGCATGTTTAGTTAAAGGAGTAGTTATGTGATGACGACAATTAACTTTCTTTGCCTAGAACCACTTAACTGCTGTGGGCTATATGTCTCATAAGCCTGTCAGCAGGCTCAATGATTTGAAACTTTGGTTGCTGAAATCCAAAGCATCCCAATTGCATATATTTTCTGTAGATGTTAGATAGTTGTAGTTGTATTTTAGGAAGTCCTAGAGAAATATATGGAACTAAATCTGTTGTGATTAACTGCTACCATATTAACATTAGTGAATCTGTTCTATGTATGAGTAAGTGTGCCTTGAACAAATGTTATTATCATATACTTGTTCTCAGCATTAGTACCCAAAACTGATGAATATGATAAAGATGGGTAATTCAAGCACTGATTTTATTTTGGACCTTGCAGTGAATTATAATATATTCTATATTATGGAATATGAAATAGATACTGTAAGTTTTGAATATAGTAAAATATTTTAGTAATCGTTATACTTATAAATAGTTACTTCAATACTGTAACTGAAATCTGAAATATTGTAATCTAATCTTTTTAGAATTAAATTTCACTTTAAAGCAAGTGAAATAAAAATACATAAGAAGATAGGATTATATGTGTTTTGTATCAAAATCTTAATTAAATTATACTGTGTTTTAAATATGAATTAAATGAGACTGATATTTTAAGGTAATTGTCATTGACATTCTTTTGAATCAACAGGTCATGTGAGAAAACTGGAATGAGGAACAAAAGCTGTGTGACCACTTTCATGATGATGGGTCTCTCTGAAAAGCCTAAGCTGCAGTTGATACTCTTCATTCTGTTCCTTGCTGTTTATATTGTTGCCCTCATTGGAAATCTTGCCATCATTGCTGCTATCATTTCCTATCCTAAACTTCACAGGCCAATGTATTTCTTCCTCTTCCACTTGGCTGTGGTAGACATAATCTGCACTTCTGCCATTATTCCCAAGATGCTAGGAAACATAGCAACCTTCAGCAAGGGTATCTCCTACTCTGGCTGTATAGTTCAACTCTATTCCTTCACCTGGTGTTTGGGAGCTGAGATGGTCCTCTTCACCATCATGGCTTATGATCGCTATGTGGCCATATGTCATCCTCTACATTATGCCATCATGATGAGCAAGAAAGTATGCATGGCACTATCTACAGTGGTGATTCTTATAGCTATTAGTAACTCATGGGTGCATACTGGTCTGATTATGAGGCTCAACTTTTGTGGTCCCAATGGTATCAACCACTTCTTTTGTGAGATTCCTCCACTTCTGGCTCTCTCCTGCAGTCCAGTAAGATTAAATGAAGTATGGGTCTTCACAGCAGACATCTTCCTAGCTATGGGAAACTTCTTGCTAACATGCCTATCTTACTGCTTCATTGTTAGAACAATCCTTAAAATCAAGACATCTGAGGGAAAGAAAAAGGCCTTCTCCACGTGTTCATCTCACCTTATTGTTGTGACCTTGTATTACTCTACTGTCATTTATACTTATATACGTCCAGCTTCCAGCTATAACTTTGAAAGAGATAAAGCAGTTGCTGCCCTATACACATTGGTTACACCAGTTTTAAATCCCATAGTTTATTCTCTGAGAAATAATGATGTCAAGGCAGCTCTTAAAAAAGTTTTCTTTATAACATGAGTTAGATATTCAAGTCTCTCCATGTTCTTTCACCAGAAATTCAGTGTTATATTTTGAGTTTTCATTCTTTGCTTTGATTTGTTTTAAGGATGGTACTAATTATAAATGTAAATGTACAGTATTTATTACTTGTTTATCCAACATTTTATGATTTGTAGTTCAATGAATGAACTAACCCTGTTTCAAAGTACTTTTGCAGATGAGATGAAATAGGAGCTTTTTCTCTACAGTATTTGGTGTTGGTCCACACAGATTATTAGCATCAAGAGTTAAAAACAATTGTGTGAATCAATCTTGTGTAGTTTAGAAAAACCAATTTCAAGATTCTTGTTTCCAATGAAGAATTTTGGTTGAGATGAGGGCATGGTTTTCTTGGAATTATTATGGTCCTAAAGAAAACAAACTAATGAAAAGGAATAAACTGAGACAAGGTGGTATAGTAAATATAACAATTGATCTTCTGATCCTACTTATACTTTCTAAATAAGTATGTTGGGTATGAAGACTCTGGAGAAATTGAAAGAAACCCGAAGTAGGTAATCATGGTTTAGAACGTGAAAAAAAAACCCACTATTGATTTGATCAATCATCAGCAAAATTTGAAAAAAATACAATATAAATATAAAATCAAATAGATGAGATAAAATACTAGCATATATCGTTACATTTTTCTGATTTTCTTGAGTCATATTAAAATTCTTTTCTTGATGTTTCTTTGCATATCAGTTTCAAAGAAACTGCATTGTAAAGATATATTCAGTTCATTTAATTGTTAAATTTGTAAACCTTCTAAATAAATAAAATAAAATGTCCTACATTAAACATCCTAATAATACTATTTACCTTAGGCTTTAGAAGTGTGTCTCAATGATGGATTAGTATGAGGAAGTTGTGTAATGAGAAATTGCAGTGTCATTCATTGTTTTTATTAATTCTCCTAACTTTCCTAACTTCTCCTATATCGTTTTAAACTTTAAAACTTCCCACAATCACTGGAACTATAATTCCCACATTTTCCAATCAGTATGGAATGTCTAATTGGAAATTTAGGTGATTGTAATTCCAATAGCTTCTAATAATAATTGTAATTATATTTATAATAGAAGCAGTACTAATAGAACCAGTGTAATTTGCAATATAAATATTATAGCTGTGCTAATTTTAAAAATGCAATGTGCGCATCCAAAATGTATACAGAATAACAGAATAATAAAGTTGGAAAGGATCCTAGGCATGAAATACTATACCATTCAGACAAATGGTTGTCCAATCATCTCCTGTGTTGGACAAATAAAGTTCAGAACTAATAACATTACAAATATGAATGCTTAAAATATGCAAAAACAATAAAAGGGTCAGGTGGAGATGAAAAAAGGATAAATACTGAGAAGTAATGGATAACAGCCAACAATGGTATATGAGATTCTAATTATCATATTTAATGCAATAAAAAAGAGTCTGCTTTTCTGAACCATCCATAGAATTTGAATTGTCTTTAAAGGTAGGTTCTCATAGAAGCCAATATTTGTTGAAGATTTGATGTAATGATATGCATATCTAAACTTAAAATCTCCTTCTTTACATTCAGTGCAGAAGATAACTTGTCTGAAGCTGAAGAAATATATTCCTGATGACTGCTGCTACTTATGCTTCTATAATTAGCAGTAAATCTAGAAGGTTGCCATTATGGATTTGATCCTTCAAAGGAATAGCAACCCCATCCAATATCAGATGAATCTTTCAATCCAGTTCAATGAGTTTCATTCACAGTCTGTTGAGTTTGAGCTGATTAAATTTCAGCAACTTTATCTAAGCATATTCAACAAGAGTTCCAATGATCCCACAGCATTAAAATGTGGAAATGAAATAAAAGTTTATGCAAAACAAAAGTATAGCTGTGTATCATCTGAATAAAGATGAAATGTATCCAAATCTCAATCCAATTATACATGCATCCTTCCTCCCTACCTCTCATAAATATTAAAGAATATAGATAAGATAAAAATTTGGCGTATTCACAATGCAAAAACAATAAATACAGCAGAGCAGAAGATTCTTAAGGTAACCTTCTAATGCTGACATCCCCACAATAGATTGTTAATTAAAGACAAATTAGCTAAAGAGACATTGGTTAAAAATGATCTATATAGTTATTAGGTACATCCATAGCTGGCATGAAAACCCACACATGAATGCTGCTATTCTGCTTCTTATATAAGGACTTATATAAGGATTTCCAGGCAGAAAGCATGGTTTCTACTTACAGGGAGTCCTTGCTTAAAGTCCATTCATTCAGTGACCATTTGAAGTTATAATTCTAAAAAAACAAACTTGCAACTGCCCCACCCCCCGCACACATGATAAAAATGTGAACCAAACCATATCTTTGACTGCACCTTCCTCCCTAGATGTTTCATTTTCTTTTCCTTATTCCCTTCCACTCGGGTCACCATCCTGGCTACTGTGGCTTTGGAGCTTTTTACCTGGCTGGAGTTGCTTGCATACTTAGGCACCTTCTCTAGCAGAAACCATCCCCCCCCCCAGCCCTGCTGAGCTCACATCCTTACATATTGTTCCCCATCCCCACTGTGCTCACCTTGTGTCTTGTCACATATGGTCCAAGGGTCAAAAAGATAACTAAGATTAAAAGAGAGAGAGAACATGCAAAGGGATAGTGATGAAAAAATTATTGATTTTGGAAGTCATTGAAAGAGGACCACCAGGAAAATGAACTGAATTAAAAGATAAAAGTGATGACATGGGATGAAATGCTAGAGTGAAACTTTTAGAAATATCAATTGGACTGATAATAGTAGAGGAGAATATTTGTATTTCAGGGTTGAAGGGTGGGATCCTTGATATTTCTGAGCTTGGTTATTTTCTTGCAGACATTTCATTATCCAACTAGGTAACATCATTAGTGCTAGAGGGAAGTGGACTTTAAAACCAAGCTCACAGAGCACAAAGACCCTGCAATGGAATGTTATAGAGTGTTATAGAAGTTAGTGTCCATTAAAATAAAAATAGAAAGAAAGTCACAGTGAGAAGTTTCAAAAATAATCCAGCCATGGATGTAAATGGTATAACTGGAGAAATGTTTAAAATGTGGATTTGTGCATATGGTCATGTGATTTATTATATGTTATTGCACCTGTATCACAAAAGTGCAGCCCCAAGAGATATTTCAGAAGATTTATGAATAATGGATAGTGCAGTTTCCTGTCATTGTGTAATAGGAAATACTGGAGGAAAGGGGTAAGATGGGGACATTCAAACAATTTCAGATTGCAGACATTCCAGAGACAAAGCGTTAGAAATAGAAAATTAGCAATAAAAATTTTATTTGTTGTTTTATGTACATTTATGCACATCCCAAAGATTTCCTCTATTTCATGGAAATTGAAAATTAATATTTCAAATGTATAAACATTAAAATTTGAATTTCACAGTTATTATATTTGGGAGATTAATGTTTTAATGAAACAAATTAAGAGTGCGGATGTGATTGTTTTTCCTTAGCAAAATTGCTATAGATATCTCTTGTTGTATTTGAGTAAAGTTATTTTCTCCTTGTTGAAGTAAAGATCATCAGGTCCAGTTCCAAGCTGGGAGTAAACAAAATGGAGGCTAAGACATTGGAAATAAAAATGGAAGCTGGCTGTTTGGAAAGAAGGTTTAATGATGAGCAGAACCACCAGCAGTAGTTCTGGGATAGCTGACCAAATGGAGTTGAGAATGGATGGATCTTTATAGGGTTCTGAGGCTTTGAACTGGAAATGTTTCTAGGTTGTGCAGTGAGGTGGACTTTTGTGTCTTTTGCTAGTCTGAAGAGGATATAGGATTAATTCTAGTATGTCTGTCAACTTCTAAACTGAACCTGGCTGAAGCCATCTTTGTCATTCTCAGTTGTCACACAGATTGGGAGGAATAGGGGAAAGAAACTGAAAAGATTGCTAGACTAATCCTATTATGTCCTAAAGGTCAGATTCTTTAAATTTTGGGTGGGGAAATGTACATTCTTAATCCCATCAGCTGGCCTCCTGAGTTTCTGCTTAAGTCAGGGAGGCTGGTTTCTACCTTTTAAGAATTTTTTGCATTATTCCTTTAGGGAAATACTATATTCTACCCTTTTAATATCCCCCAAAATATTACCTTCTCTGGGAGGTTGGTTGGGTGTTGACTTTCTACAATCCCCTCTTTGGGCCATATAAGTGTGGGTGACACAATTTTACTGGCCCAAGATTAAGAATTGATCTAATCAGAGATTACTTGATGAATGCTTTTATTTTATTTATTTCAGGATGCAGGGAAGCAAATTCTCAAATTGTTAATGCAAAGAGAAAGGCAATGATAGAGGCAGCAGAAAAGGATCCCTGCAGTGGCTCCCAAAAAGGGGAGGTTTCAACCCATGAAGCCAGGGCAAAAGTTCTGTTATGTGGAAAAGAAATGTATAGTTTCCAATATTTTGTGCCATTTCTTTTTAGATGATTTATGTCACTTTCTGTGAGCTTTCAGTCAGGTTTGCACATGCCCCAAAATTCTTCACAGCCATGTTTTGCCTTAATAAATAATTACTGGCTACCCATTTTCAAGGGTTGCTTCCTGAACTGCCTTAGTTCTTAATTTAGTGCATCCAGGGTTTGTGATGTCCAACTGAGATTAGCCAGTGTGCAAATCAGGCTATTAATATTTCTTAAATTGCACACCACGAGCCATAGGACTTCCACTAATGAGACCACCAGTGCAACATATTCTGGGCTTGGGTTTGGAGATTTCTTTTCTTCTACCTCCTCAATTCTACATGAGATAGAATTGCAAATCACCTGAGGGGGCAAGAACCAGCCTAGGGAGCTTTACGTGGAGGTAAGTGAAGGAGATAACCTCAGTGTGATTCTGAATTGTGTCTGTCTGTCTGTCTGTCTGTCTGTCTGTCTGTCTGTCTGTCTGTCTGTCTCTCTCTCTCTCTCTCTCTCTCTCTCTCTCTCTCTCTCTCTCTCTCTGTGTGTGTGTGTGCAGCTACTAATACAAACATCTTAGATAAATTTCCCTCCCACCAAACAGAAATCCAAAGTATTCAGCACTTGCTGTGCCAATCATTCTCAAATGTCATCCTTCCATGTATCCATTCAACTGGCTAATTACAATATAAATGAGGCAAGAATTAAAATATTCTGACCTCCCCCCATAGTCTTTCCAGTTTTCTTCTGAGGCTTCATATGGGGGCCAATGTATCCAGAAGTCCTTCCTTTCCCTGCAGCTTTCATTGGCATCTGGGTGATGTAGGATCTGGGAAGATCTGTTCCACTCTGGTTGCATGGTGACTCACCTAATAGATATCTGGATCCAAATCTATTTCCCTGGCTCAAAGGAATGGAGATAGCATCTGGGTTAGTATGTTCTGATTTCAAAGGTTGTGGAGTTGTCTGTGCAAGGCTGAAAGATATGAGCCCTTTTGTTGTTGACTCTCCCAGAAGAGGCATTATTGGTTTGATAGGAGATAGGAGAATAGAGGATAAAAAATGAAGAACTGGAGAAGAAGAAGAAGAAGAAGAAGAAGAAGAAGAAGAAGAAGAAGAAGAAGAAGAAGAAGAAGAAGAAGAAGAAGAAGAAGAAGAAGAAGAAGAAGAAGAAGAAGAAGAATAAGAAGAAGAAGAAGAAGAAGAAGAAGAAGAAGAAGAAGAAGAAGAAGAAGAAGAAGAAGAAGAAGAAGAAGAAGAAGAAGAAGAAGACAGTTGTCTTTACCCTGTTTTGCTGGCCAGGCAAAATAGGGTGATGGTATTTTTCTTTTGGTGGCTTATTTTAACATTTTCTATTTCCTAGTAGAATTTAAAATTCTTTTCTCTAGAGATACATTTACATAACAGTTACATTTACCTAACATAAAAAAACTTTGACACACATACACACAAAGAGAAGGGCAAACAGCAAAGGGAAATAGAACTCTTAGATTTTCATATCCTGATCATTCCACCATAAATCTCAAATTAGGGAAAGCAAATATGTATATATTTCTTTTCCTTTTTAGTACCTTTATTTAGCCAAATTGTTTTTCTAGCTTTGTCCCTGAACAGAGTCCACTTTTCACACAATTTGTGCAAGTCTTAATTTCATGACTGCCTGGACGGGCAACTCCCTCTGCCCCCAAACCTCCATCCATCTCCCTAGGGGAGACTACGTGGGATCCTAGACTGTGAGCTTCCCATTCTCTGTGCTGCTCTTCCCACTGTCAGTGATGAGACTTTAAGGCTCCCTCTCTCTTTTTTTAACTTTAGTTCCTCACAACTTATGGTACTACACTGCCCCCAACAGGTGAAGGTGAAGTTTCTGCCTTTTAAGATTTTTCTCCATTATTCCTTTAGGGAAATATAATATGCCGCCTTTTTTTAATATCCCCAAAATATTTCCTTATCTAGGAAGGTGGGTGGATGCTGACTTTTTACATCCTTTAATGTTAATGAATCCCCATCAAGTTCTTATACAACTCCAGAGTGCTTACTGGCCAAGTATTGATAGCTATATATATTTATTTGGATGTTTCTACTGTTTTTATTCTTTTAAAATATTTTTAGTATTTTAATTGTAATCATTTTTTTTTTAATTTTAAGCTGCTAGAGTCAGATGCCCAGCTATAGAAATGAAATCAATCAGTCAGTCAATCAATCTTCCTGTCTGGATTTAGTATAATGCTTATTAGAACTGTTTTAAATGTATCAAAGGGCTAGTTACAATTTGCACCAAAATGAAATTTTCAGATCTATTGCATCAGTTGTAAAGTAAAGAACATTATTCATAGCTTAGTTAAGCAAAGATTGATTTTTCAGTTCAATTTGGATCAATTATTTGAAAACATAGGCAAGGTTTTGGATATACTGTATGTGCTTCCTTTTGTGACTGTTTGGAACAGTCCCAAAGCATGATTTGGGACCACTAATTTTTTT